TTGAGGTCACGACGGGAAGGCAGGGCGCGCACTTCTGCGCCTGGTCCCAAAGGCATGACATCAGCGGCAGTGCGGCTGGTCATGGCTTTTAAGTAGCGCCAGCGGCGACTACAGTCCTATCGACGAGCATTTCAGGTAATGAGCGAACCAATCGTAGAAAGTTTGTTTCGATTAAGGAGCTTTCGCTCAGTTAACTACTCCTTAGTGCGTGTGTGCGTGCCTGTGTCCGCCATTGAATCTTGCTTCAAGGGTGTGGGTCCTCGGTCGCCCACAGCCAATCAGTGAACCGATGCAGTTTGATTGGTTACGTTTCGTAAGACGAGCGTTTCACAAAACGGGCTGGGTGTCACAACGGATGCAACTCGTTAACCAAGATTTAACTGTATACAGCAAAACTGAAAATAATAAAAGCACTCATAATAATTACATATATGATAATTAAATTACAACACTTCATAATAATGTGTTTTTGGGGATATAGCAGTTTAATTTTATTTGCATTATTTAAGATGGGAAAATTCGTTTCACAAAATGAGTGTTTCATATGACGAGCTTGATGCCGGAACGGGGTAAGCTCGTTAACCGAGACTCCATTGTATTGTGAGATCCTTTAGTGATGACTCGAACTTAAGAAAATAAGCACTGACCAGAAGCATGCATCTCGAGAGCGGGAAATCAAGTTATGAAAACGATCAAGAAATTTCGATAAAAAGGACTGGGCTTTACATGGAGTTACTTCTGTAAAGGTTAGTGTTTCGGATTTCTTGAATACTCTGACTCTGTATCAGCAGTAACACCTACGTCAAACCCTATTGATAACAACAATCAGTGTTGTACGGTAATATTAAACAAATAGTGAAGAATCAACAAGGTACAAACCTCAACAATGGATAAACGTGATCAAGAACAGGTATTAGGCCAAATATCGCTTGACTCTAGTCAAAGGAACGACACACGTCCAATATCGCCACGCCTTTGCAGGGCGAAGCCAAACTTGCGAGAGTGTGTGTGCTGGGAGAGGGGGCGACCGCTGCTTTGATCTAACTTTTGGGCCAGTTCATGTGGGTTTCGATTG